GGTGGTTCTACCCTGTCCTGCAGGGTCCCTGCAAGTCAGCGTGGACTTGGTGGCCGGGCGTGTTAGGGCTGTGATGGCTGGAAGGGAGGTGTGCGGTGGGAACTGGTGCGGACTATTTCCCAGGCCTTATTTGGCCCAGCCTGGTTCTAGACCAATGAGAAAAGGGGTCTCCTTTTAAGTGCTACCCTTGTTCGGTGCTGCAGCCCAGGGCCAGGAGCAGCTTCCTGTGGCTAACAGGGAATGCAGTTGGCGCCCCGTTCAGGGTCTGGCCTGCCCCTGCCCAGCAGAGCCCGTTCTCTCCTCTGCCCAGGGCCCCAGGCACGCTGTTGGGAGCTCACAACGGCCCGCTGTCCCCTCCGACCCCGGGAGCAGCCATGGCAGAGCTGTGTCGCACAGAGTCCACGCTGACGTCGCTGGACGAGGAGCAGCTGTGGGAGATGCTGGAGAGTCACCGTTGCCGCATCGTGAGCAGCGTGTGCCCCAGCCGCCTGACGCCCTACCTGCGCCAGGCCCGCGTGCTGGGCCGGCTGGACGAGGAGGAGGTGCTGCACGGCCCCCGGCTCTCCAACACCGCCATGCGCGCTGGTGAGGCCAGCCCTACCCCTGCTGCCCTGGCCCCGGCCCTGACCCGCCCCATGCTGGCCTTGACCCAGACCTGCCCTGGCACTGGCCTGCACCTACTTACCCCTGCCGGCCCCTGCCCTGGCTCTGACAAGGCCCTGACCAGCCCTGACCCAACCCTAACATGACCCTGACCTGGATTTGACCCAGACCTGATGCTTCCTTGACTCTGATCTGGACCTGACTCGGACATGTCCTGGTCCTGACCTGAAACTGACCTGCCCATGACCTACATTTGACCCTGACTCTAACTTGACCCTGACCAGGCCCTGAACTAGCCCTATCTGGACCCAACTTGAACTTGACGCTGAACTGCCCCTGACCCAGACCTGACCTGACTCTGAGCTGGCCATGACTGGACCCTAACCTGACCTTTATCCAGATTTGACTTGACCCTGATCTGACCCTGACTTAGACCTGACCTGACCCCAACCTTACCCAGACACGGCCTTGATCCAGACGTGATCTTATCCTGACTGGGTCCTGACCTCTCACCTGGTCATGACCCTGATCTGACCGTAACCTGGTCCCGACCTGACCCTGACCCAGACCCAGACCAGATCTGATCCTGACCCTGACAAGCCCTGCCCTGGCCCTGCTGGCCTGGGTCTCGGTCCCAGCCTGCCTCAGCCTCAGCTCCAGTCCTCAAACCCCGTCCCACTGACCTGTACCCTGTACCCCAAGCCCTAGGCCTGAGACCTGACCCCTGCCCCCGCCCCAGCTTCAGCCCCAGCTCCTCACAGACCTCAAGCTCAGCCCCCGATCTGACCGCCTGCCCAGCCCCCACAGGCCTTATCACTGCCTGGCTGACTGAATGGCTCTTTCTCCCCGTTCCCCCCTTGCTCCTCACAAACCTCAAGCTCAGCCCCCGATCTGACCGCCTGCCCAGCCCCCACAGGCCTTATCACTGCCTGGCTGACTGAATGGCTCTTTCTCCCCGTTCCCCCATTGCTCCCCCTTGCCTCTGAAAGAGCTCCCTGGGGGCTGTTCACACACAGCAGCTTCCCCCCCAAATCCACAAAGTCCCCAGCTTGAGTTCGTGGGGCTGTGCGGGCACTCAGCCTCGTCGCCCCCAGGCCTTTCATGTGCCAGGCCCAGCGACCCAGGGCTGACAGGGCAGCGTACAGAACAAGTCCCAACAGGAAGACCTGGCCTCACCCTTCCACAGACCAGCACTCAGGATCCCCAGGGTGGGGGGCTCCCTCCCAAGCCTCTGGTGGGCGGGGCATTCCTTCTGTCTCCCTCTCCACCTCTCCACCTCTCGGCCCCACCTTCTCCCCCAGGAGAGGATGGGAAGCCGCCCCCACAGCACCCCTCCCCAACAGACAGGCCCTCACTGCAGTGCCCATGGGGACCCAGCCCAGCACCTACCACTGCAGGCCTGTGCGCCCACAACACACACAGGGCACCTGCTGGGCTGGCTTGCCCTGCCACTGAAGGCCTGTGCCCCCCACAGGGCACCTGCTGGACCTGCTCAAGACTCGGGGCAAGAACGGAGCTGTGGCCTTCCTGGAGAGCCTCAAGTTCCACAACCCCGACGTCTACACGCTGGTCACCGGGCTGCAGCCCGCCGTGGACTTCGGCAGCTTCAGTGGTGAGCGCTGGCGTCTGCTGGGGACCCGGCACCATGAGCCCCTACCTCCCAGGGCCCGTGAGGTCATCCAAACGAGGGTCCCGCTTGCTCCTGCAAGGACACAGAGCCTGCACTACCCACCCACGCCCCGCTAACAGGGCAGGGGGAGGAGGGGGAGCCTAAGTCCAAAGCCCCTCATGCCCCGAAGCACCAAGACCCCTCTCTCAGGGTGGAGACCCAAGCTTGAGAGGCGCAGACCCCAGTACCCGAGATGTTTCTCGGAGCTTGTCTCTCCCGGGCCTGTTGTTTCCTGGAGCGGGTTATGTATTGGTTATGCTTCTGGGGTAGTGGATTATGCATTGGGTTGCTAACCACAAGGTCAGCAGTTCAAAACCACCAGTCGCTCTGCAGGAGACAGATGAAGCTCTACTCCCATCAAGAGTTACTGTCTGGGAAATCCACAGGGCCAGTTCACGATGAGTGAACTGCATCGAACTTGAGGGCAGGGAGTTTGGTTTTAAAGAGTGACGGCTCAGAAACCCACTGGGGCAGTTCTGCCCCGTCCTGCCGGGTCTCTGGGTTGCAGACAGGGGTCCAGCAGCAGTGTATTCAACAGACGAGGAGCAGAAGAAAGGGCTTTCATGCTGAATGCATGAGAACACAGCCCTGAAAAGCGGGTAGGCCGGTTCACTCTGACCACACGGCCCCTGTGTGCCAGCATCAGCATGGAGGACAATGGGTGGGTTTGGTGTTTGAGGGCCAGCAGAACTCTCTTCTAGGGAGCTATCTTCTCTGTTAGGGCTCTCTCAGGAGCCCTGGGGGCCCTGTGGTTACAGATGGGGCCCCTAGCCCCAAGGTCAGCAGTCTGAAGCCACCAGGTGCCCTGGGGGATAAAGAGGAGGCTTCCAGTCTGGGAAACCCACAGGGCAGTTCTACCCTGCCCTAGGTGGTCGCTGTGAGTCGGCATGGACTCCATGACAGTGAGTTAGGTTTGGGTTATTAGGGCTCTCTCAGGATGACATCAATATGGGGCGTTGGGTCTGAACCGGCAGGCACGTGGGGGAGGCCACGGTGGGGTGCACTTTTGCCGCAGGTGTAGGGACTCCACACGCAGCTGTGAGTACCACCGCCCCTTCTGCCAAACGCGTGCGCCAGGGTCTGGTCGAGGCCTGCTTCGGGAGACTGCCGGCCTCAGGGACCCTCGGGCAATTCGGCGCTGACACTTGGGTCCTGGAGGAACAGGGTGGGCATCCTGGACCCACCTGTCCGCCGTCCCCAGGGCTCATGGAGACGTCCAAGCTGACCGAGTGCCTGGCGGGCGCCATCAGCAGCCTGCAGGAGGAGCTGGCCCAGGAGCAGAGGCAGAAGGCGGCGCTGCGGGAGCGCCTGGGCCTGGCCGAGGCCCGCGTGGAGAGCCTGCGCTCGCTGGAGGCCGACCACGGCCGCATGAAGCGCGAACTCAGCGCCCACTTCCACGAGGTGCTGAAGCTCAAGGATGAGCTGCTCAACCTGTCACTGCGCTACAGCAGCGCCCTGCAGGAGAAGGAGCTGGCCACCACGCGCTGCCGCGGCCTGCAGGAGGAGGTGGGGCCTGTGGGGGCGGGGCTGAGGAAGGAGGTGGGGCCTTGTGAGGGTGGGGCTGCGGGAGGAGGTGGGGCCTGCAGGAGGAGGTGGGGCTGTAGGAGTGGGTGGGACCTTCAAAAGTTGGTGTGGCTATGAGATGGGTGAGCCTGAAGGGGGAGGTGGGGCTGTGGGAGGGGTGAGGCTGTAGGAAGAGGTGGGGCTGCAGGAGGAGGTAGGACAGTGGAAGAAGGTGGGGTCTGCAGCTGGAGCTGTAGAAGGAGGTGGACAGTAGGGGGAGCCCTGGGGATGACGCAGGGAGGCGGGCCAGCAGGTGCCTCTGGGTTTGCTGTTCCATCTGCCTGGAACTCCCTTGCCGCCCCACTGGCCAGGAATGGGTGCCACAGCCC